ATCATCATCATCATCATCATCATCATCATCATCATCATCATCATCATCATCATCATCATCATCATCATCATCATCATCATCATCATCATCATCATCATCATCATCATCATCATCATCATCATCATCATCATCATCATCATCATCATCGTCATCGTCATCAGCAGCAGCAGCAGCAGCAGCAGCAGCAGCAGCGGGTCGTTCGCTCAGTGAAAGGCGAGCCAAGCCGTCTACAGCACAACAAGTCTGTGAGCGTGCAAAGCCCCAATACGCCATCCATTCTACAACCAACAAGCTCGACGAACACACCAAAGATCGGCCAAAGCATCACCGGGAAGTAATCGCGATAGTTCTCCAGGGAGACGATGTAGACATGTGGCCGAATTTTCAAGTCTTGCGAGACGACACCGTCAACGAAAAAGCCGTGCGCGAATGCTGTGTTGCGCGGCCATTGCGTCTTCAAGACTTTCAATGCGTTCTTTGTGTGCTTTGTCTGCACGGAGGTGGTGAAGCTGGCGGATCGAAAGAGCTTGGCATCCGCCCCTTCAACCATCTGCAGGTTGCCGTTTGGATGACGGTCATATGCATCAGTCCATTCATCCCTTCTACTAGCAAACCAACGATGCAATGATTTGAGCGCACCTTCACTTGGTTGGGCCCCGTACCTGCCGGTTGCTTCCCCTTCCCCGGGTCCTATCAGTCCAGCAGCGAGTCCATCAGCGAGAAGATGCGTGAGCCATGTCGGCAAGCAACCAAGAAGACATCCAAAGCAGTCTACCAAAGCTGTTATTGATGTACCTGGGTGAGCGTGTCGTGAACCGTCCAAAAGTCCACGCACGCGGTGTGGAGCTGGTCGTAGCAAATGTGGCCAACGTTTGCGTCCGCGCGCTGAAGCGCCTGGTTTTTCCCCGTGAAATCCACCAATCTGATCGACTCTGGTGCAGGAAGCTTGATTTTCATGTCGGTGAGTTTTGACAATGTGGCAAATGCAGCTCCGGCGTGCAGATCTGAGAGACGCGTTTCTTCCGAGGGAGGCCAGTACTTGGCGAAGGTGCAAAGACGAAGAGCGTAGGCGGCAGCACAGGCCGTCTCAAAGCTTTTTGAGCTCTTGCCTGACGCAAAGCTGCAGTTGACGACAATGCGCAACGCCTTCCACCAGAATGGAGGCTGCTTGCCAATGTTGTCCCTGAAGATTTTTTCCAAGCGCTGGAGTAACGCGTCCACAACAGGCAGAGACATAAGAACCAAAGTACCAGCATTGTTGAACGAGCCGATGTACAGCTGTTCCAACTCCTCAGGAGTGACGCTGTAGTGGAACGGAACGGCGAGAGTGACTTTCGGCATTGATCGCAAACCGCACCACAACAGCTTTTCGATGAGCTGCAACGGTGAGTCTTTGACTCTGTCGCGTAGAGGATGCAGAATTTCCGTCCGGATGAAGTCGAGGTCAAGCGCCATGATGCTTGCTTGACCGGCGGATGTAGTGGGAGAAGTCTTCAGCAAAGCGTCGAACAGAGCAATCAAACTGCTGGGGTGCCCAGAAACGTAAATGAGCAGTCGAAGAACGGTTTCATCGGTCACAGGATCATAACCGGCAGGCCAACTTGCCGACCATCCTGTTGCCTTGGTTCGAGCAACTGCGCCTGCTAGCCATGATCTCGATTGCTCGAATGTCAAAGGGGGGAGCGACACTCTGTTGCTTTCAAATGACGACATGATGACGACTTCAGCGAAAGGCTGGTAGAGCAGTCCGGCGAACAACGACGTGCAATGGTAGAATCGCGTGGCAGGAATTGCGGCCGACGCTAACGCAATGAAGACATTCTGGAAGAACGGATTGGGCGAGGGCTGTAAAACAGTGTCAGGAAAACCAAAAGAACGCTGGAACTCGTCAAGAGCAAGCACGAACATGACAGGTCGACGAGTGACTTGGCCAGCAGCAGTTGCGGGATCAACAACGGGTGCTTCCCCCAGTGCTCTGCAATTAGGCGGGTACTTCTGTGCGTGAAGTGCAATGATCGCAAGGACCTCGGAAAGCGTCACAGCGCCTATAACTTGACGAAGCCTGTTCACATTGTCGACGGACCAGTATGACCCACCAACGAGATACTGAAGAAGCACGCGATACGCAATGCTCAACGAGCCACCAAGTGCGACATCAAGCGGAGAGAACTGCGTTAAGTTGTTGTAGGTCACGTAGAGCGGCACGAAAACCTCCTCGCCCTGCTGCTGCGTGTAGGCGAACTTGAAGTACTCGTGCATGGCGCGGGTCTTGCCGATGCCTGGAATGCCGGCAAACACCATAGTTGGAAAGTAACGGCGGTCCGTCGTGTGCCCTATGTATCGTCTCACTCCAGCGCAGTGGTCTGCCAGTTGCTTCAAGACAAGGTATTGCGGATCTTGGTAAATTTCTGGCCCACTGCATCCCTGTCCACAATATGGTAAGAGAAGAATCATCGCCGAACACGGTCGTAGTACAACAAAACTCACTTCGAAGGTGAAGACGTAATCAGGTCTGAGCACCTGCGCGGTCACGAGCACGTTATGAAGCGCCTCGATTCGTTCGTCTTGCGACAGAACGAGTTCTGAAAACAAACACCAAAAACGCTTTGCGTCAAAATAGACTGATCACTCAAAACTCAAGCTCCAAAATCGTAAACTCACCAAACACTCGTAAAGGCTGCAGATCAATTGAAACATCTGAAAAATTTGCAACACACTCACAGCCAATGAGTTACGTGACGCTGACGCTGACGCTGACGCTGACGCTGACACACACACACACACACACACACCGTCCCAACACCAACAAAAACAATCCCAAGCCAGTTGCACTCGATCGGCTTTCCAAACACGACTCACCTGGAAGGGCGGCTGCTGACTGAGCTTTCGCTAGCGCATCCTGAAGCCGTGCGATCTGTTCCTTACTCGTGATCTCGTTGATCATGGTCCTGAGCAATTTCGCTCCAACTTCCTCGAAATCCCGTACAGCTTCTTGAGAAGTTGTCAGCTCCAGCCTCGCAAGAATATCTGCACCATTTTCTTGCTCCTCTTTGCTTGGAGTGACCTCAACAGCATGCACGCCATGCAATAGCTCCATGAGTTTGTTGCGTTGATCACGTGCGTTGGGCAAAGCTGCTGCGGGAGTCAAATCTGTGGTGACTCCAAGGCAAGCATTCAAAGCCTGCCAAAGTTGCACCTGTCCAAACTGGATCGTACCTGTGTCAGCTCGGTCTTCTTCTTTTTCTCTTGTAGAAGAAGAAAAAAGCTGCTTCACTCACCGAACTCATGTGGTCAATGTCCATCGGTGCTGCGGACGAAGCGGTGGCGTTGTCTGCATCTCAGTTGAAGCAGTCGCTTGAGGAGGGGGTTGGGATGCATCGTCGTTTTCCTAGTTTTGAGAAAATAAAAGGGATGATGTGTTAGCTGGCGACATGATCGCGGTGTGGCAGTTCTACAACAAAGACTGTTCACGCTTCGCACAAGGAACGAAGACGAGTGGACGAGGTCCACAAAAAATGGCGCGCAACTGCCAAGACGCCGATAGACAGACAATGACAGACAATGACAGGCAGGTCTCGGTCCACTTACGGTTCTGGCACGCTTATCGGCGTGACCTGCAGGTGAGTCCGCTGCTTGACGCTTTGAAGAAGCAGAAGAACTCATCGCAAAACCGGGAAAAAAAAAAAGACTGATTCAACCTGTCAAAGTGATTTTGATTTTCGACATCGTGTCGTTTATGGTGAGTTTGGTTCTTTTATGAAGCCTCATCATGGCAGAAGACTGTGTTGAGATGACATCTTGCTGATGGCTTCGTCTCCCTTTTGTCTTGTTCTTTTGATCTTTCTTTGGTTTTTCGTTGTGATTTTGGTTTTGACTTCAAACTGCAAGCTGAAATCGAGCTCCCAGGCTGCGCTCTGTGCTCTCCTACTTTCTCGATAAATCACGCAATGACCTCGCATCAATAACCATGGTGGTATTGGTGGGTCAGGAGTGAAAGGGGCGCCCAGTGCTGAACACGCTGAACGCAGCAACAATGTCTCCCGCAACACGAACCGACCCCTGCGGCATAGCAGGTGGCACATGCTGTATCACCCACTACAATCAAAACATCAGTGGAACGATCACAAAGAGAATCGCAGTCAGCGCGCCCAATTCTTACTGTACGGTTGGAATACGTGCTAGGCGGAGCGACCGTGTTCCCGCCAAAGGAAAAGTTGTTCGGGCTCAGATATTGGTAAGAAATCGACAATGCCATGCCATTTGGCAAGCCCCTAAACAGTCCGGGCGGCAGAGTGGTGAGGGGATTGCCATTCAAAGGTCTGCAAGAACCGTGAAACACTCGTATGTGACGAACGGACTGTGAGTTACCGATCGTCGCGTTCGTGTGCGGCATTCTTTCGACTCAGTGCGCAGCATCACAGTTGCCCGTGAGTACAACTGCACATTCACATCGCATCTCTAGGACTCCACGCCACGCCTGACATAGGTGGTGGGACAGCAGAGCGACGAAACAACACACTTGCAAAAAAAAAAAAAAAAAAAAAAAAGTTTCACTCGTGCCATGAGTGCGCTTCCAACGAGAAAACACCCCTAAGTTACAAAATGTGGCTCGAGTTCAATACCTTGCGACCCCATCCAATGCTGCAAAAAAAGAAGGCGAAAAAAGAAGAAAACGAACAAAAAAAACAAAAAAAAAAAAGAAAAAAACATGTGGTTGCTGGGATTCGAACCCAGGCCACCGAAGTGATCAGAGCCTTAATCTGACGCGTTAGACCAGCTCCGCCACAACCACATCAGGACGTGATGCCAATGTGCCATCACGTTCATGTCTGGTCGGTCGGGCAAAACATCCTAAGACCCAGGGTAAAACCCAGCAGCATAACCTTCGCGTGTGTTTCTCCCACTCCTCATTCTCCAAACAGGCAGAAACCCTTGCACTAGCATTCGACAGTTACAAATCAAAATTCTTACAAATCAAAAAGTCAAAACAACAGAAGCACAACACACAAGCCAAGTAACGCAAGGGAACAGAGCACACGCCAAACCCCCAGCAAACACACACGCGTTGCATCACACATTGGACTCGACTTGCTTCATGGAGATCATAGTCTCGCGGTTGGGAGCTGCGGCCAGATGCGAGGGCGCCGCCTCAGAGCGATAGGGTTGGCGTTTCTTGAGCACAACCAGCGCAACGACAATCACAATCAAGCACAGGGGCACTCCAACGCCCACTCCGATAGCAATGTCTCGGTTGCTCGTGCTTGAGTCTGAGTTTGCATCACCATGGTCAATCGCGCCTCCCGTGGTGGAAGTAGCCCGAGCCGAAGCAGCAGACTCTGCTGACTCGGCGGACTTTGCACTGGCAACGGATACAGACGATACTGACGCCACCGATGCGGCAGAGGCCGAGGACGCGGATGCCACGGAAGCGACCGAGACAGATGCGGCAGAGGCGGAGGACACGGACGCGAGACTGGCAGCGGAAACAGACGATTCCGACGAGACAGAGGCGGCAGAGGCTGAGGACACAGATGCGGCAGAGGCAGAGGACGCGGATGCCACTGAAGCGACCGAGGCGACAGATGCGGCAGAGGCGGAGGACACGGACGCGAGACTGGCAGCGGATGCTGACGATTCCGACACCACAGATGCAACAGAGGCTGAGGACACAGATGCGGCAGAGGCAGAGGACGCGGATGCCACTGAAGCGACCGAGGCGACAGATGCGGCAGAGGCGGAGGACACGGACGCGAGGCTGGCACCGGAGATAGATGCTGACACGGCGGATGCTTCAGACGCTGAGGAGACAGATGCAGCAGACACAGATGCAACAGATGCCAAGGAGACGGATGCGGCAGAGGCCGAAGACGCGGATGCCACTGAATTGACAACTGCGGCAGATGCAGCAGAGGCCGAGGATACGGACGCGAGGCTGGCACCGGAGATAGATGCTGACACGGCGGATGCTTCAGACGCTGAGGAGACAGATGCAGCAGACGCTGAGGACACGGACGCCACTGAACTGACCGAGCCGACACTATATGCCGAAACGGATGAAAGCGACGCACTCACTGCTGCGGCAGCAGAGACAGAGGAAGCAGACGCCGCGACACCCGCTGCAATGGAGGAAACAGATGCAGCAGAAACAGAAGAAGCGGAAGCAACGGAGGACGCGGACGCGACTGCTGCAGAAGCTGAAGAAGCAGATGCAATGGAAGAAGCTGAAGCAGCTGAGGCAGAAGAAACAGATGCAACGGAAGACTCTGAAACAACCGAAGCGGAAGATGCTGAAACAACCGAAGCGGAAGATGCTGAAACAACCAAAGCGGAAGACGCTGAAGCGACTTCTGCAACAGATGCAGCTGAAGAAGCGGACGAAGCAATGGAAGCGGAAGAGATGGTAGCAGCGGAAGCAGCAGAAGCAGCAGAAGCAGCAGCAGAGCGAATGCTTGCCAGCGATGCGGACACAACGCTAGCGGATGATCCAGACTTTACAGAGGCCACGCTGATACTCGACAAAGAAGAGTCATCCTGCGAGCTTGAGGAGGATGAAGATTCCAGAGCAGATGAAGTGGGTTGGCTGGTTGCCGTTGATGCAGCAGCAGGTGTAGAAGCAGGGTTGGATGTTGGGCCGGGAGTGGAGTTGGATTTGGCGGAGGCGGCGCTAACGCTGGATGCGGACACGGCGCTGGCACTGGATACAGACACGGCGCTGGCACTGGATACAGACACGGCGCTGGCACTGGATGCGGACACGGCGCTAACGTTGGATGCGGACACGGCGCTGGCACTGGAGACGGCATTCACAGACGCTACGCTGCCGCTGGAAACAGATCCAGCAGATGCAACTTGGAGGGATGAAGCGGCGGCAATGCTCGCTTTTGATGCAGACGAGACCGATACGACACTTGCTTGTGATGCTGATGAGGCCGAGGCTGTGGCCAACGACGCGACGGAAGCTGCGGAAGCCGAGGACGCGGCCGCAACGCTTGAGGCACGACCCGCTGACGCAGAAATAAGCGAAGCAACACTTGCTGATGAAGCGGAAGCAGAAGCCACTGATGCAGCAGAGGCAGACAACGTAGCAATTGCGCGTGCACTGGATGCTGATGCAGCAGATTGGGCAGACACGGCAGAAACCGATGAGGCGGAAGATATGGACGCCACGGAGACCGACGAAACGGACGCCGCGGAAGCCGACGAGATGGACGCCGCTGAAGCCGACGAGATGGACGCCGCTGAAGCCGACGAGATGGACGCCGCTGAAGCCGACGAGATGGACGCCGCTGAAGCCGACGAGATGGACGCCGCTGAAGCCGACGAGATGGACGCCGCTGAAGCCGACGAGATGGACGCCGCTGAAACCGACGAAACAGACGCCGCGGAAGCGGACGATGCTGACAAAACCGAAGCTGCACTGGCCCCCGGACGCGGATGCAACAGACGCAGTTGACTGCGCAACAATCGAGCGAATACTGCCAGCAGAAGCAGACGACACTGAAGCCACGCTGGCAACCGATGCGGATGAGACTGACGCGACGGACTGAATCACAGCAGCGCTCGTGGACGAGGCAGCAACCGCTGCAATCGAGCTCTGAACAGCAGCCGACGCCTTGGATGCAGACGACACTGAAGCCACGCTGGCAACCGATGCGGATGAGACTGACGCGACGGACTGAATCACAGCAGCGCTCGTGGACGAGGCAGCAACCGCTGCAATCGAGCTCTGAACAGCAGCAGACGCCTTGGACGCGGACGAAGCGGAAGCCAGAGATGCCTTCTGGATGGACACAACAGAAGCGGATGTTTTGCTGGCAACAGAGGCTGTCGCGGCAGAGACTGCAGAAGCCGACTTGATGGAGACAGCCTCAGCAGATGAAGCTGCTACAATTGAGGTGGAAACGTTGAAAAACGGAACGCACGTGTCATCGAGCAGCTCGTAGCCAGTGTCACATCCCGAGCAAGTCGTAGCGCTCGTGCAAGTGACGCAACCCGATGAGCAGCACGAGGCGGCTCCAACGGCAAAACAAGTGCTGCATACCCTGTTGCAAGCTGTTTGCAGACAAGAAGAATTGAGCAACCCTGCGACACATGTGCATAACACCCACGGATTCCAACGATTTGGTCACTCACGACGGGGATTGCCAGGTGTGCCATACGTGCTTGGAGGAGCATACTCGAACTCATTGCCAGTCAGGGAAGATGTGGTCAAAGTGAGCCCCTTGAAAAGGCCCGGCGGAAGCGTGGTCAGCTTATTGTCGTACAGGTAGCTGCAGGCCAAATGTATGGGACGGGTTTCACATCCCAAAAATGAGCAACACGACAAAGGCGAGACGTGGCGAGGTGTGGTCAACCGAAACCTCATCAAACTCGTACAGAGTGGACAGCTGGGTTGCCGTACGAAACGCATCACGAGGGATGGAAGTCAGGGGTGTGTTTGTGATCCGGCTACAGTTGTGTTTCAAAGTTCAAGTCAGACGCAAGTCAATCGCTCGGGTTTGGCGCGTGCATCGCAAAGCATACTGACAGATATCGCAGGTTTGTCATCGAATCGAACAGTCCGGCTGGCCACTGGGGAAGCAACGTGCCGTAGAACATGCTGTTTGATGTGCCGAGGGAAGAGCAAGTTAGTGCACAAAGTCATGCATACACCCATACCAGAAGATGTATGAGGTTTGGCTGTAATCTTACAAGGTCTGCAGGTTTTTGAGTTGGCTAAACGCGCCAGCGGCCACAGTAGTAATCGGGTTGGTGTCCAATTGTCTGCAAGCAAGACGACAGTGAGCACCGCAGTGGCAAAATTGCGTTCGCCATCAAAGTGTCTCCAGCGTACAGTGTGGTGAGCGACGTGAGCGATGAGAAGGCCGTAGCCGAGACAACGGTAAGAGCGTTCTGGTACAGGATTCTGCGCGCATGGAAGAAAGGCAAGTTGTCAGACGGGTTGAAACTTCCAAAAACTTTGGGGGGGGAGGGTTGCGGAGGCTCGGAACGTACAAGGTTTGCAATGCCGGTAGATTGTCGAACGTGGTGGCAGAGATGGTGTTCAACCTGTTACCGCCCATGTTGCTGAACAATTGGCGAAAGCACCACGGAACGCAAAGAACACGAGGTGAGCGCGACAAAAGGCAAGACAAAGCAATGCAATCTTGGGCCGCAATGATGTGTCGTACACGCTCGTCAGTGCGCTCAGTCCATCAATCGCCCCTGCAGGGAGAGTAACGATCAAGTTGCGCGAAACATCGCTGTCCATCCACAACATTAAAATGAGGTGAGTCAGAAATCTCCAATCTACACTCCATCAACCAAGCCTGCAGCCCGTTTTGTTTTTAAACTGACAGAAGCTGTAGGGACGTCAATCCAGAGAACGGCGTGGCGGCCACGGCAGAAATCTCGTTGTTGGTCAGGAATCTGATGGGAAATGACGCCCAGTCGACCAAGAATGAGCACACGATGCAGTCATTCTCCGCCAGCCGGTGCATTGGATAGATGATACCATTCACGTACAGAAATTTGAGCGATCCGAGTGTACTGAATGCGCCATTCCCCAGGATTGTCAATTTGTTTTCCGACAAATCACTGCACGGCGGGTTGTATGCAAAGTCAAAACTTGGGACGTGAGTGTAATCGTGGAACTACTTGCAGTTGACACGATCCAACAATCGCGGGGTAGGCCTCACAGCGATTCGGTGGTTGCTGGAATGCTGGTGGGGATGACAGTCAACGCTTGGTCCGAGCAATCGACCGATTTGGTTGCGCTGTCGCAAACGCAACCATCGGATTCGAAATTCAGAGTGCATGCGCTGATTGCTTGAGCATCTGCCATGGTCGACAGCTGCAGCAGCAGAAGCAGGCACAACGCCGCCAGAGGCGCAAGTGTCTGCCACTTGCGGATGATTGAGGCACGCATCAGGGGGGG